TATTTAAAATATAATTAATATTAAAACAAAATTTTTTTGAGATATTTAGGGAAAAAACATCTATAATTTTTTATAATAATCGATATAAATAGAAATCGATAGAAAATTGAAATTTACTTTTTTTTTATTTAAAGATTATATGCATTTCATATACTGTCCATAAAATTTATTTTGATTTAAAATACTAGAAAATAATTTTAATAAAATTCAAAAAAATATTTCAATCAAGTATAAATAAGTAGTATATAATAAAGCAAAGAACAAGACAGAAATGTTTATAAAAAAAATAACAATAAATTATTATAAGATTATTATAATTTAATTAATAAAAAACAATCTAATAAATGCAAGTACAATATTTATATTAATAAAACAACAATAAGCACAATATTTATTAACATTTACATTTAATAAAAACCAAATGTTAAATTAAATATGAGAAATATAATTATTTTTTTTATGTCAAAGTTTATCTATATTATATAGTAAAAAATTGGCTTAATTATGCTGATTAATTTTAATTTTTTCTTGAATTTCGACCAGATTCAACTAGATGTCGGATTAAAAAATCATTTGGAAATAACTCGGGACCTGTATTTAACTATCACACAAGAATAATATATATGTATTAAATTTACATCTTATTTTATATATATGGTATATAATTATATTATTTACCTAACTTTAATTTTTCTCTTGGAAATTCCCATTTCTTATCGTAAGGAAGTAATTCTGCTTGATCATCCACTGTTAATTCTGGATTCAAACATTCCACTGCTCCTTCTTCAAAATGCATTAATCCTGCTTCCATTAATTCTTTTCTCATGATCTAGAATATAAAAAATATATGTGTTTAGATATATTTCATAATTGCAAAATATTTTTAAATCATGAAATCACTAAAGATCAAGAGTCAAAAAAATTATTAAAAAACTGAGAATATTAATAAATAGAATCTAATTATACAAGTTGAAAATTTACAAATAAAATATTATTGTTTAAAAATACCTTTTCACGGCGAATCTTGATTGTAAAATAGACCACCAAAATTACTACTGTGATCGATAAGATGACAATCAGTATTATTAATTCCTTCGGAATCTCTTTTCCTATAGATTTTAAAGTTTTGTAAAAAATTTTTGTATTTCATATAGACATATTATGAAATGTTTTATCAAAAAAAATGAATTCTGTTCAATATTGTATAATTTAGTAAATTACCTTTGACTATTATAATTCCATGTGCCTTGATTATTCCTAAACGATTCTCGCCTTTACATAAGTATACTCCACTGTCAATATCCCTTAGATAATTAATATGCAATTCTTGTTGACTATGGGTACATGTGAATTGATCACCAATTTTTATTAGTTCATTATTCTATAAAAAATGAAATAAACATAAGTGATCAAGAATATTTATATATAATATAAAAAAGTAATAAAATATATATACAATACTATTTTCCACTAAATAATTTTTAAGTACTTAATACAATAGTAAAATTATTTGTTAAATAATATTTAATTATATGATTTATTGGCATTTAAAAATAAATTATCAGATACTTACTTTATACCACGTGACTATTGGTTTAGGCATTCCACCTACAAAACACTGAAGTATTAACGAATTATGTGAATCATGTGTATTAATATCAATCGTAATTTCCGTTCCATTTAAATTGGTTTCCTTCATAAAAGGTTTCACTGCCTCTAAAAAAGAAATAAAATTAGAAAAATCAGAAAGAAAAATCAAGAATTTTATTGTTTATTTCTTTTTGTTTAATTTTTTTAATCATATATTTATTAATTATTTATAATAAATTTAAAATTTTTTAAAATTATTTATGATTTAAAATACTTCATTAAACAAATTTTTGATGATTTATAAACAATAATTAAACTATTTCAGGTTTTTATATTAATATATATATTTTTTTCCTTATATAAATTATATCCTATATAAATTATTTACCGTGAACTTGAAGAAAGAAATCCATTTCTTCTTTATTGCTACATGTATAAATCATCGAATCTGCTTTTGTTACATTTTTTATCTTTAAGATCGAACGATAAGTAAATCGAGTCTTAGTTTGTTCGATCGTCAATCTACCTAAACGTTCAAAAAATAACAATGAATCAAGAAAAATATCTTTCAAAATATTTTTAAAAATAAAAATATAATTCTTTTTTCAAATAATAAAAAATACTTACCATTTTGTACAATTAAAGCACCGTTCGCGTATTTCCATTCGAAATTGCTCGTGTAATTATAAATGGAGGCAGCACAAATTAGTTCTAAATCGTCGCCTTCGACTACTGAATCCTTTAACTCGATTATACCGAAACCACCTCTTCCATCTATATTTTTGAAAAATCGATATAAAAGTATAAAAATGAAAAAATGACATAAAAACAAAATTAAATAATATATAAAATTTTTATCATGATAATATGTGCATGATGATATGTATATACGTGGTAATATGCAATTTTTTAATAAATATGTACATATATTATGATTCGATGAATATCTTACAAATAAAATTGTAATTTAATTATTTACCAGAAACCAAAATGGTTTCAGTTTGAGATTCGCATCCAATAATGTTGCATGCGCTACAGGTAAGATGACCACTCATTTCAATAGTCATCTTTACGATTGAATGAAATCTGGTGTTCATTCCGCTTTCTTTTGTGTTCTATAAAATTAAGAAAAATATTTTTCAAATAAAAATAAAACAAATATTTATTATAAATTTATGAAGTTTTAATATAAAATTTTTAATATATAAAAATTTTAATATAAAACTTTTCAATTCCTCAATTGTTTTCATTATTTGTTCATAATCATAATTATTTAAGGGAGATATTACATACTGTTAATTCTATAGTAGTCGCATTTTCATAAGAAGGATAATAAGGGTACTTAATAAAACTCCACGTTATATTCGGTGATGGAAATGTTGCCACATCACAAGATATTTCTACCGTTTGATTAGGGCTATAATAAGGCTCTACTTTCAACATTGGTACTGGTTTTACTGAAAAAAATGTTAATAAAAAAACAATAAAAATAATAAAAAATTTTTTTCTTTGATTATTGAAAATAAAAGTTATATACCTAATACATCTAATGTAAAATTCAACATATCGAATTTATCTTGATTAGTAGCTTGAAGAGAATATTCTCCCATGTCCTCGATATTTAAATGGTTTATTCTTAAAATTGTATTAGTAGACTCTGTTTTTATCGCATATTTCGTTTTTTTTGGAGTTTCCCAATTACCTACGATTTCTTCTCCTTTTGTATTTAGCCTGAAAAATTAGAAATAATATTAAAATAATAATTAAAATAATATTAAAATAATATTAGAAATAATATTAAATATTAAATAATATTATATTTAAATATAATAAGATATTAAAAAAATTTTTTTATTCTAATTAATTCTATTAATAATTTTCTATTTAAAATATTACCATTTAAGAATAGGTTCTGGATAAGCATGCACATGTACAACCCATTGTATTTCACTACCTTCATGACGTTGATAATGTCTGATAGCATCCTGTGCTGTTAGGTTGATAAATTTGTTTTCCGGATCTAAAAATATATATTTAGAATAGTTTTTAATATAAAAGAAAAACATTTTCTTTTATATTAAATTAAAATTAAAAAATTTTATTTTTTTAAATGATTAAATAACTAAAGAAAATTATTTTAACTTTAACTCACCATGAACCTTAATGAAGACTTTTGTTTTTCTAGAATCATGAAAGGATTTTATAACACATTCATACAAGCCTTCATCTTCGTATCTTACATCCTCTATAATCATTTCGACAATCGCTTTTTTAATTGCACCTGTTTTTTCACTGTAATCAACAGTCCTTATTCTAGTATTCTGGAAGCATATGTAAAATTTATTTTTTTTATTTAATTTCAATTCAATGATTTGAATAAAAAATAAATTATTTTCGAACCACATGCGGTGTAGTCCAATTTAAAACATAATTCATATCTGTTTCAACGATTGTTGTGCAATTTACACGCAGAATTTGACCTCTTGTTACATGACGTAAATTATCCTCCGCAATTTTTGGTTCGTTCAATTCATGCTTTTCCTAAAAAAATGAAAAAAAAATTTCAATTCCAAGCTGTATTCAAAAAAAAAAAAAAAAATGAAATAAAAAAAATTTCATTTTAAAGAAAATTAAAATTTTATTTATTTGTAGAGAATAATCAAATACATCAAATTAAAAAACTCAAAATATTTTCTATTTTTTTTCAAAATTATTACAATTTGAAAATATTTGTATTTAAAATCTTATAGATGAATTAATTTACATATTTAAAATAAATAATAATAAAATAATAAGTTTTCTTTGTTTATTATTAATTAAAGAGTCATATTTAAAAGCTACTTATATTTAAATTGTATAATCACATTTTTTATAAATTAAATTAAATACAAAAATTGTTTTTATTTAAATATTATAATGAAAAATTTTTAAAATAATAAAATTTAGAAATATTTTAAGAAAGTATACATACGAATCACAAGTAAGTAATAATTTATCTCATGGCGTACATCTGTTTGTATGACACATGTATAATAACCGCCATCTTTCAGCGTGATGTTTGTCAATGTAAAACCAATCCTTGGATGGAAATTTGTTTTATTCACAGCCTATAATAATAAATATAACTTTATTTAATATTTTTTATGTTTTTATATATATTTTCTTATTTAATTCTATTTATTATTCATAAAATGTTTCATCTGATATTATAAAACAAAATAATATAAATATATAAAACAAAATAGTAACATCATATAAGTCACTCTGCATCTTCCTGAACTCTTAAGAAGAATTAACAAAATGATTAAAAAATCTCTGAAAACATAATACTTTAAAAAAATAAATATAAATAAATTATAATTTTAAATATTTTATTTTTCAAAATTAAAAGAATACTTAAAAGATATTTAATTTCTAAAAAAATATTTAATTTTTAAAAGATAAAATAAGTAAAAATATTCAAATAGTCAAATTAAAAAAAATTACAATCAAAAATTCAAAAACAAAAATCTTTTAATATTTTTCATTTATATTTATTATTTTATACTCATTACTCTGTCTAATAAATTATTAACAATTAAAACAGATCAACTTACCAAATCACTGAGCAAGAGTTCAACTGTAAAATTAGGCGACGTTGGTCTACAAGGTATTAAAGCAGTTTCACCGACTGCTACAGTTAATGAACGAAAATTATCTGTTTGCACAAACATGCTTCTGTTTGCTGAAACAGAATAATTGTAGTATTAAATTGATGTATTAAAATTATATGATTTTATTATTTTATTTAAAAAATTATCTATAATCATTGTACATATTCGGACAAACATTAGTCTAAACAATATTATAGCTCAAATATAACGAATAATATAAACATAGAATAAAATAATAACAATAATAATAATGATAATCATTATTGTTTCTAGTACCATTAATCTTATGATATAAAACGTATATTTTTTAAAAACCTATATTTTACGACATATTTCAATTCTGTAAATATAGTTTCTCAAATTTTATTATAAAATAATTCTAAAAATATATTAAAAAATTAAATATCTGTGCTAATACAATTATATTTTTTATAAAAAAAAAAAATAACTAACAATAGTAAAAGTAACAATAACAAAAGTAACAATAAATCCATAAATATTCTAATTGCTCTATTTAAAAGATAGTAATAATAATAATAAATATAAAAAGATGCTCTCAAGAATATTTTTCATCCAGAATAATTCTTGAGAATTTTATCTTATTCATATTTTAAGAAATATTTAAAAATTCACTTACATTGAACATAAACGAATACCAAGCTTTCAGATGTTTGAAAATTAGGGTGTGAGGTAACTTGCAAAATATTACCGGGACAACCATACAATCCCGTATCTCCATGAATAGTTTCATTTCGTTTAAATACGAATTTGTATATGTCATCTTCGAGAGTTTCTTTTTTAAAGGGTGTCGAGGTGATGATCTATTTTAACAAAACAATTAACAACAAACAAGATTAGTTTCTTTCTTTATACCATATCGATATTAGCTTCATTTTTTTTTTTTTTTTTTTATTATAAAGACTTACATTGGATTCATCTTCAGGATAGACAAAAAAAATTCTTTCGAAACCGGTGCATGTGATCTCCAAACTATCACCTTCATCTATAAGAAGCTCCGTAGCTTTTTCTATTTCATCTATGCTCAATTGAGCTATTGAACCTGATAATGAAAAAATTATAAATTATTGAGCGATAAAGAATTGGTGAAAAAATTAAAATTAAAAAATTACAAATAAATATTAAAATTCATTATAAGAATATTGAAACGTTATAATGGAATATTGTAGAATATCAAAAAATATCGTAGAGATTTTTCATAGAAAGAAAATAAACCAAAAATAAAATTTATCTATCAGAGTATGTTTTTCTAAGAGATAGATATTGAAAATGCAAATGAAGACGCACTTAATAAAATGAAGGTGCACTTAACACCGATATTGATAATCGATAGATTAATAGATAGCTGATAACTTATATTGATAACAAACTAGTAGAGTATATTAATATACTAAATACAGATTCGTATTTATCAATATGAATAAAAAAAAGAAACCAATTAATTATTTACATACATTTTCAAAATTTTATTTCAGAATATAAGA